TGGGCGACAGAGTGAGACTCCAACTCAAAAAAAATAAAAAATAAAAAATAAAAAAAAAAAGAAGAAGAATGAGGACACTATGGCTTCCAAGATGTGTTGCAGCATGCTACAGGTCCACAATTCCTTATACATGATTTCAGAGTAAAAACTGAAAACTAGAATTTTTTTGTAGCAGATTAATTTCATGGCAACATTTAACCTGAATTGACACGAGACTATTCGAAGTCTTTACTTATTTCACTTAGTGTGAATACTCTCCTGTTCGACTGTAGAAATATTAGTGTCTTTGATTTTAGAGTGTTGCCTCCGTCCTTACTGGGAATGTTACATAACAGACTAGAGGACCAGGTTCACAATCCTGGCCAGGGTGCTAGAGAGTAATTCTTGTCATATCTGGGAGATTCTTTCCTGAAAAATATAATGTTTACCAAAACCTTACTTAGCAAGATTAAGATCTCTAAGAAAATAAGGGATTAGGAGGAAAACAAAACAAAAAAATGCACTTAAAAAAATAATAGACTTAATTTTTTTAGCGAAGTTTTAGTTTTAAAGAGCGATTGAGCAGAAAGGTTTGAGAACTCATAAATCACTCTTAATTTCCCGTATTACTAACATCTTGCATTTATGTAGTACTTTTGTTAAAATTGATGAACTATATTGGTGCCTTATTAACTGAAGTCTGTAATTTATCTTAAGGTTCGCTCTGTTGTACAGTTCTGTCGGTTTTGACAACTGTACAATGATGTATCTACCCTTACAGTATTACATGAATAGTGTCACTGTCTTAACAATCCATTGTGCTCCACCTATTTGTTTCTCCCTCCTTCTTCCCCACTCAGCCTTTGGCATCTACTAGTCTTTGTACTGTTTATAGATTTGCCCTTTACAGAATGTCATGTAGTTAGAATCATACAGTATGCAGTCTTCTCACACTGACTTTTTTCACTTATTAGTATTCCGTAACTTATTATGGTTCTTCCATGTCTTTTTTGTCTTGATAGTTTACTTGTTTTCATTGCTGAATAATATTCCATTGTATGGATGTACCACAGTTGATTGATCTATTCACCTATTGAAAGGCATCTTGGTTGCCTCCAAGTTTTGGTTATTATGAATAGAGCTGGTAGAACATTTGCAGGCTTCTATGTGGACTGTGTTTTTAACTCATGGGCAAATACCAGGGTGTGAAATTGCTGCGTTGTATGGTAACACTATATTTGGCTTTGTAAGAAGCTACCAAACTGACTTTGAAAGTAGATGTACCATTTTGTGTTTCTGTCAGCAATGAAAGCCAAAAAAATGCATTGAGAAAAAGTCCTAGAAAGCATGATATTATAGAGAAAACAGGACCCAAAATTATATACACAATTAACTCCATTGTCTTTAGCAAAAAAAGGCAAATAAAATAACTAGAAAGAAGTATGTTAAATAATTTCTTCAGGGTTTCTGTTGTGTTTATCCATGCCATTTTATAATTTTTAACTTATTTTTATTAAACCATGAGCAAGTATTGCTTTTATAATTAAAATAATAAAAAGAGATAATAATTGCTCCTTTCTTCCTTTGGTGGTAGGAACCTGCAAATAGTCGTCTACCTCCTCACCTTATTGCACTTGATTCCACGATACCTGGATTTTTTGATGACATTGGGTATCTGGATCTCTTGCCATGTCGTCCTTTCGACACAGTTTTTATTTTCTATATGAAGCCAGGTCAGAAGACGAACCAAGAGGTAAGAATTCTAAAATTTTTTTTTTTTTTGGTAATTTTTTAGGCTATCAGTACTAGGGGGAACCCAAAAAACCTCAGAATTTATTTATTAAAAAATGTATATTTATTCGTACATTTTTATATTTCAGTTTCCTTCAAAGTATTCTCTATTTGATACAATCCACCTGTTGAGATGCTTTTTACACTGCATCTCAACAGGTGGATTGGTTTTGAACTGTTGTTGATACCTTTTAGTGCTTCTGCTGTTTTTGTTTCACAGTGGCAAAAAGTTTCCCTCTGAGGACTTTTTTTATCTGGGGAAACAACAACAAAAAAATTGGGTTAGGGAGAGATGAGGTGAATAGGGTAGGTGGGACATGGTGTTTTTTGGTCAAAAACTGCTGAACACTGTGTGGTATGGGCAGGTGCACTCGTAAATCACCCATCATGAAATGGTCAAACACATTGAAAGATTCTCCTCCCAAAAATTCACTGATGTTGAACGCAGCCTCTCACAACAATGCTAGCTGGTACACTGATGCTGATGGGTTCCTAAAACACTTACCTAGCAGGGGCAAGTCTTTAATACAAGGGACCAGCCCTCCAAAAAAATAATTTTGTTTTGGGTCCCCCTCATACATGTACACCTGAAGAAAGAAACTAAGGTACATTAATCCAGAGAGTTTATTTGATCAAGGCTGAGAACTGCAGCCCAGGAAGCACTGGAAAGTTCTCTGAAGAACAAAGGAAAGACTTTTTTTGTTTGTCTTTTAACTTTTAATTTTTTTATTTTAAAGATGTGGGGTACAATTCAGGGTTAGGTATACAGATGTTCATTATCAGGTACTCTTGTTGATGAGGTGCCCCCCCCTTCCCAGGCAGATTCTCACTACTGCCAATCCTGCCTCCCTGCCCCCTGTACTGTAGTTTTCCATTACTCCAATCCTTTTCTTATAGTATTACGATAGTTGTTCAAGGTCTGTTTATGAGTGAGAACATGTGATACTCAGTTCTTTCTTTCTGTGAAAGATCACTCAGTATTATAGACTCTAAGTCTATCCAGGTTGCTGAGAAATTCATGATTTTTTTCTTCTTTATGGCTGCATAATATCCCATCATGTATATGTACCACATTTTTTTAATCCAGACCTCTTTTAAAGGGCAGCACGGTTGATTTCATGTTCTTGCTATTGTGAACAATGCTGCAATAAACATATGTGTGCAGGTATCTTTTTTATAGAGTGATTTGAGTTCTTCCGGGTACATTTCCAGTAGAGGGGTTGGGGGATCGAATGGAAGGTTGATTTTTAGATCTTTTAGGAATCGCCACACTGTTTTTCACGGAGGCTGTACTAGTTTACACTCCCACCAACAGTGTAGAAGTGTTTCCATTTCCCCGCATTCTCTCCAGAATCTGTTGTTTTTATAAGTTATTGATTATGGCTATTCTGACTGGAGTTAGGTGGTATCTCAGTGTAATTGTATTTGCATTTCTTTGGTGACTAGTGAGGCTGAGTATTTTTTCATGTATCTGTTGGCTGTTCATATGCTTCTTTTGAGAAGTGTCTGTTCATATCTTTTGCCCACTTTGTAATGGGCCTGTTTATTTTTTTCTTTTTGGCACGTTTGAGTTCCTTGTAGATCCTAGATATTAGGCCTTTGTCAGATAGAGTTGGCAAATAATTTTTCCCAGTCTGGACTGTATCCCCACTCTCTTGATGGTTTCTTTGGCTTTGCAGAATCTTGTCAGTTTGATGAGATCCCACTTGTCTATCTTATCTCTTATGGCATGGGCACTTGGGGTTTTGATCAGGAATTGGTTGCCAGTTCCAATTTCCATAAGGGTGTCTCCTGCGTTTTCTAAGGTTCTTATAGTTTGAGGTTTTACGTTTAGGTCTTTGATCCATTTAGAGTTAATTTTTGTGTATGAGGATAAATGGGGTCTTGTTTTAATCATCTGCATGTGGTCAGCCAGTTTTCCCAGCACCGTTTACTGAATAGGTTCTTCTCTTCCCAGTCATTGGTGGTGAAGGCTTTGTCGAAGATGAGTTTGTTGAGAAATTGAGGTTTTGTTTCTGGAACCTCTGTCCCCTTCCATTTGTCTAGATGCCTGTTCTTGTACCAATACCAGGTGGTTTTGATTATTGTAGCTTTATAATAAAGATTAAAGTCTGGGAGTGTAATACCTCCTGCTTTGTTTTTTGCTAAGGATTGTTTTGGCTATTTGTGGTCGTTTGTATTTCCATATGAAGTCTAATATTGTCGTTTCCAGGCCTGAGAAGAATGCTGCTGGTAACTTAATGGGTATTGTGTTAAATCTGTAGACTGCCTTGGGTAGGATGGACATCTTTACGATGTTGATTCTTCCAGTCCATGAGCATGGAATATTTTTCCATTTGTTTGTATCATCTTTGATTTCTTTGAGCAGTGTTTTGTAGTTTTCCTTGTAAAGGTCTTTGACTTCTCTGGTTAGGAAGATGCCAAGGTATTTGTTTTTTTTTTTTTTCTGGCTGTTGTGAATGGGATTGTACTTTTTATTTGGGTTTCTGTTTGTTGTTGGTGTATAGGAATGCAACTGTCTTTTGCACATTGATTTTATATCCTGATACTTTGCCAAAGTTCTTTATCTGCACAAGGAGGTGTTTGATAGATTCTTTTGGGTTTTTGAGGTATGGCATCATGTCGTCTGCAAAGAGGGATAATTTAACTTCCTCTTTTCCTATTTGAATACCCCTGATCTCCTTCTCTTGTCTGATTGTTCTAGTTAAGACTTCCAAAACTATGTTGGAAAGGTGGGGTGAGAGTGGACATCCTTGTTTTGTTCCAGCATCCAGGGGAAATTGTTCCAATTTCTGTCTGTTTAGCTGTATGCTGACTGTGGGTTTCTTGCAGATGGCTCTTACTATTTTTAGGTATGTTCCAACTATATCTGTTGTTCAAGGGTTTTTATTAAGATTTTATCGAAAGCTTTTTCCACATTTAATGATATTATCATGTGGTTTTTGTTTTTACATCTGTTGATGTATTTAATTAAGATTATGGTCTTATGAATGTTGAACCAGCCTTGCATCCTGGGGAGGAAGCCTACTTGGTCGTGGTGGATGATTTTTGAGATGTGTTGTTGAATTTGATTTGTTAGAATCTTGTTGAGAATTTTAGCATCTATGTTCATCATGGATATTGGCCTGTAGTTCTCATTCTTTGTTGGATCTTTACCTGGTTTGGGTATCAATATGTTGTTAGCTTCATAAAATGATTTGGGGAGAGTTCCGTCTTTCTCATTTGCCTGGAATACTTCCAATAGGATTGGTATCAGTTCCTCCTTGAATGTGTTATAGAATTCTGCTGGAAAGTTATCTGGTCCAGGGCTTTTTTTTGTAGGTAGTTTTCTTATGGCAGGCCAACTCCCTGGATTGTTAGTGTTCTATTTAGTGTCTCGATTTCTCCTTGTGTCAACTTGGGAGGTTGTGTGATGTCAGAAGGTCCACCATTTCATTTAGGTTTTCAATTTTTTTTCCATGTAAGGGTGTATAGTAGTCTCTGATAATCTTTTGTATTTCTTTGGAGTCAGTTGTGACTTGGCCTTTTGCCTTTCTGAGTATGTTTATTTGGGCTTTTTCTCTCTTCTTCTTGGTCAGTCCAGCTAGGGAACCATCAATCTTGTTTATCCTTTCAAAGAACTAGCTTTTTTTTTTTTTCATTGATTTTTTTGGTATTATCTTTTTATCTTCTATGTCCTGAATTTGGGCTTTTATTTTGGTGATCGGCATTCTTCTGCTGAAGTTACAGTTTTGGTGGTCTTGCTTTTCCAGCTCCCTTACGTGATTTGTTAGGTTGTTAATTTTTGATCTTTCCATTTTCTTCATGTATGTTCATAGAGATATGAATTCCCCTCTTAGTATTGCTTTCATGGCATCCAGAGGTTTTGGTAAGATGTTTTTTTGTTTTCATTTGCTTCCAGGTATCTTTTAATCTCTGTTTTGATTTCCATGTTGACCCAGGAGTTGCTTAGCATCATGCTCTTTAGTGTCTATGTCTTTGTGGGTTTTGGGGGAACTTTATTGGTTTTGATATTTATTTTTCTTCTGTTGTGGCCTGAGAAGGTGCATGGCAGGATTTCAATCTTGTGAAATTGTTTATGCTTGATTTATGGCTGTGGATGTGGTCATTCTTAGAGTATGTTCCATGTGGTGATGAGTAGAATGTATATTCCATGGTTGTTGGGTGGAGTGTTCTGTAGTTATCAATTAAGTCCATTTGGTCAAGCTTCACATTGAGGTTCCAGATCTCCTTGTTGATTTTTTGTCTTGATCTGTCTAAGGTTGTGAGTGGGGTAATTAAGTCCCCAGCTATGATAATGTTAGAGTCAATATCTTTTTTTAAGTTTACCTGGAAGCTGCTTTATGAAAGTTGGTGCTTCTCTGTTGGGTGCATATATGTTTAGGATGGATATTTCTTGTTGATGGGCTGAACCTTTTATCATTATGTAGTGACCCTTTGTATCTTTTTAAATTTTTGATAGCTCAAAGGGTATTTTGTTTGATGTTAAGATTGCAACTCCTGCTTTCTTTTGTGATCTGTTCGCCTGAAATTTTGTTTCCCATCCTCTTACTTTGAGGCTGTGAGTGTCCTTTCTGGTGAGATGAGTCTCTTGGATACCTCATGATATTTTATCCATTTTGCCATTCTATGCCTTTTCAGTGGTGCATTTAGTCCATTCACATTCAGGCTAATTATTGAAATGTGAGAGTTTATTCCTGTCATGAGGTTCTTATAGTTTGTTGTGTTGCTGTTTGTTTGTTGTCTTTCTTTTGATTTTTGGGTTGATTCATGTGTGTTTTCAATCTTTTTTCTGCATTCTTGTGATGAACGTTGTCCTTTTTTTTTTTTTTTTATTTTTTCTGTGTTTAATACTTTCTTAAGTCTTTCTTGTAGAGCTGGTCTGGCGGCAGTGTAAGCTCTCAGGGATTGAATGTCTGGAAAAGATTTTAATTCTCCATCACTGATGAAGCTTAGCTGGTT